CCCCAAAACCCCAAAACCCCAAAACCCCAAAACCCCAAAACCCCAAAGGATTGCATTAGCAACAGCATTGAGAAAGTAGAATACAAAAACTTAGCAAAATAAATATATAAATCAATAATTAATACAATAATACTCAATGAAATAAAAAGGGCCATTCGCAAACTCTAGATATTAAGAAGATAGCCATTTGACTTTTGGATCAGATTTTACATTAAGCAATAATGCTGCTGAATACGGATCAGACAATGAGAAAGGCAGCTTGCTGGACACTAAGAGAGTGTCAAGTAATAATCTAGAATTCAATGCAAATTTGGAAGTTTTAGACTTGGATAAATCAGACAGTCGTGATATTGATATTTAAACAGATCCAAGTATTGAAGACTATCTAGAGAATGTGTGTGGCTTTGGAAGGTTTCAACTAATAACTTTCTTTATTTTGTACCTAGTTATTCAACCTACTTGTTTCCTCCTTTACAGTATTCCTTACTTGCAGTTAATGCCAAGTTTCGAATGCAATTCTACTGGCGGGAGTGACAGCTAGGTTTCAGGATAATGGTATTCTTGTAAAAGAGACGAAGCATGTGAAAATAAGGACTAAGGAAACTTTCGATACAGAATAGAGCAGTTTGGGGATACAAGTTTACAAAATTACGTAGTTAATCTGGGATTAGAATGTGATTCCCCTAATAAATTAAGATTAATTGGCTCTTTTTATTTCATTGGAGTGATACTCTCAATTATAATATGGATGAAGTAAAGCGAATACTTCGGAAAGAAATAACTTATTCTTTATGGTTCGTTCGTTCAGCTTATGGCTTATACTGGCATCTTGTTTTTTTAGTTCGATTTGACTGTAATGTATTTGTATTATTTAGGATTAGGAATGGGTTCAATGCTAACTCTCTATAACTCATTTTTGTATCTACAAGATTTTACACCTAAAAAGTTCAAACTAGCGATAGGAAATCTGTTTTTAACTTTTTAAATTCTTCCAATGATCTTCATCTCAATTTATCTAGGACTATTTTCTAGTAATTCACAAATACCACTAATAGCTGGATATGTCCTAAGCATAGCAGGATTTGTACTTCTGATACCTTTACCAGAATCTCCAGTATATCTTTTCGGAAAAGACTAATTTTATGATTGCTAAGAATCGTTGAATTATGTAGCTACTTCTAATAATAGGTAGCCTTCAGTAGACTTTACTAGATAAGAGGAGGAAAAGTCTAATTCAAGTTTCTAGCGAATAGAAAGTTCATACAAATCAAGCCAAATGAAATGGTTTGCTAGACAGTTAGTTCTCAATAATTATAATAGGAACTTTGTTATCTTCGCTATATGCTGGATAGTGGTTTCTTTTAACTACTACTTGATACTATTTCATTTCTAGGAATTCAAAGGCAGTGTATATTTAAATGGCTTTTCATCAGCTTTGGGTGAGATATTCGGCTATTTAATTGTTGGCAACTTCATGGTGAGTTTTGGGACTAAAGATACTATTGGATTAAGTTTCATTGGAATGATCCTCTCAGCAATCATGTATTTGTATCCAGCACTTCAAAACAAAATTTATTACGCTGGAGCGATATTCATAATGAAAGCATCTATTAGTTGCGCCTTTTACTCAATATTTATTGGAACAAACAAATTTTTCAAGGAAGAGTTGACACCTACCATTTTTTGCTTCTGCAACATTGTATCCAGATTTTTTACAATTCTAACTCCTCTTGTGGGAAACGGAGTTCAAGATAGCAATGATAAGAACAGTTTTATGTTTATGTTCATTTCACTTTCTTTCATAGCAATTGCAACAATAACTTGTATCAATGATATTGAGAGTCGTAAGAAATAAAAGAAATCACAAAGAGGACTTCAGGGATTTTCAAGCTCGGGAAGTGATTCTAAAACAAAAGAAGTCTGATAAGAGTTAATTTATTTAAGGATTAAAATAGACATATAATACAATAAATGGAATCTACTTCTCATTAACTTTCCCTGTTTTTTTATTTAAAGTAAAGGTCTAATTTAGTTCACTATTCATCCATGAGGGGTTTTGGGGTTTTGGGGTTTTGGG